GTTTCGGTTACTGAGGTAAATTCAGATCTGAAGCAGTGGCATATCTCATGAGTGGGCAAGGCTGAATGTTTATACAGCTGATGTCAGTCAAGGGAAGTTCTACTACATGCCTGACTGGCTGGCTTAAAATCCATGGACATACTTCTGAGAAGGATATCAAAGATATATGTGAACTGTTGCACAGAAAAAGAAGAAAATTGCCAAGATCTTGCTATATAATTTTTCCTCCTTTATCTTCTTTTAAAAATTCAAATATTTATTCACATTAGATTTACTTTTTTTTAATCAGCAGGTTAAAAATTTCATTTTCATTTGAAAGAATTTCTGCATGTTTACTGTTGGTTAATATTTTGATTATTTTCATAGAAAAATTAGTCTTCCATTATATGCTGCTACCCATGATTCCTCCTTGTAAGAAACATATTTACACTGGTTGTATTGTGATACACTAGGCAGAAGTGTATTCTTCCAGTTAAAATTAACTTATGTCATCTAGGCACGGAAGGTCCTGGTGTCAGTGTCTCGGAGGAGAGACAGAGTCCTGCTGAGAGTAGTGGCATAAGCGTAATCTATAATCCTTATGCTTCCCTTTCTATTGAACAACAAAGACAAAAGCTGCCCGTTTTTAAGGTATGGAAGTTCCTTTTGGTATATTAAATCTGTTGCATGATGTCTGGCTTGTATCTTTTTTTTTTTTTTTTTTTTTGAAAGAGGAGTATAGAATCACTTTACAACAGAAAATAATTTTATGACCTTACTTTCTTTATTTGTTGGAATTGATTGTCCTGTTGGTAAAACTGACAGTAACAGTTGTCAGGCTGTGTAGATTTGTGTTAATTACTATATGTTGTACATGTCATTTATGGATTTTTAAAAAGCTGTTTAGCTTTTGGCAGTAAACTCCATGTAAAATGAATTTACTGTGTCTGTTACATATGTAAATATTGTAACTTTAATTACTTTTTTTATTTTTCTACACATCTTTTCTTGATACTTAAATGTCATCGTCTCTTTCAGCTAAGAAATCACATACTTTATCTAGTGGAGAACTATCAAACTCTGGTGATTGTTGGGGAAACAGGTTGTGGGAAATCAACGCAGATTCCACAAGTAAGTGTCTATTTAACTTGGTAAAATCAGGTATTCCTTCAAGGGGTTTTACATTAAATGTTAAACCAGCAACCCAGAACTGCACTGTGAGAATGGAATTCACCTGGGCTCCTGTGTGTGACCAAAAGGACAGAAATATAAGGTTTCATCTTAAATACCGGGAGCTGGTATATCTGTAATATAAAACCTTCTTCTACTACAGGAAAGGACTATACGCAACTAATAATTTTATTCTGGTACAAATAGTAGTCGCTGTGCTATAGTAGGTGTTTATTGCTCTATCAGAATCATGTTTAAAATTTTGTTAAGACTATGTTTTTAAGAAGGAAAAAAGGTAACACTTTTCTTACGAGCTTTCCTCTTGGAAATTTTTGGAGTATTGTGGTTTTGTAGAATTTTCTCTTTTGTGACAGAAATGAAAAAAGTCTGAGAATGTTTCAAAGTTAGTTCTTGATTTTTAAATTAAAAAATTGCAGACTACTGATGAATGTCCTCCATTTCAATGTGAGCGCAGGACTTGTGCTGCTTAGGTTTTTTTCTTAAAGGAGAAAAATAAAATAAAGGAAAGGAGAGAAAAATGAAGTAGTTCAAAAATACTTGAGACCCAAAGAACTGTTCTGAGATGCTTTCTGAAAGCTTATGTGGTTAGGAAGTAGGTATTGTACTATAGTAGTTTTAATGGTGAGATTAATAATGCACAAAATTTCTAAGTAACTGATTTGCCTAAGGTCATGTATCAGTTAGTGTCAGAACGAGGAAAAAGCACATAGTGCGGAGAACTAATACCTTGCTGTAATCGCAGCATGACCAGCTCGTTTCTTATCCTCAATGTTTGTTTGCAGTACCTAGCAGAAGCTGGCTGGACAGCCGAAGGAAGAGTTGTTGGAGTGACGCAGCCTCGTCGGGTTGCTGCTGTTTCAGTGAGTTTCTCTGTGTCCAAATTTTCCCAGTTTGTTGTTGTTATAACCTCCAGTTTATTAGCATTTTTGGCTGAACGGCAGGAATCACAACTGCATGAGCTCCTGAATGAAAAGACGTTTCTGCTTATCTTCCTCACAGAATTGCTGGTATTCAACCTGAATCGCTGAATCACTGAATTCAACCTGATTAGTAGGTCTTGCCAAAGATTCCAAGTCCAGAATTGTAGATGTAGAAGCTTTGAAATAAAATTGAGCGGTATCAGCAGAACTGTGTGCAGAAGTTAGGGCTGCGCAGGGTTGAGCTATGATTGAAACGTACTTGTGTGACCCTTAACTTCTTTCACAAAGTAAAGTAGTGGTATAAATCTGTGTGTAGTAACATAGCTAGTGGAAGAAAGAGGATTTGTTTACCTCTTTCTGGCAATTCATGTCTAGTTTTCTCAAATCTTTTTTTCTGTGGGTTTTTTGTTCTTGTGGGTTTTTTTGGTTTGTGGTGGTGTTGTTTTCCCTTGTAAGAGTGTTAGGGAAGAGAAGAAATTATTTTATTGTGACAAATCTTTTCGTATATGTAACAGGTCTAGGAGAGCGTTACGTCAGCTAGATCTACTGTGGGGGTAGAAGAGGGGGTGCTGAGGGCAACAACTTGTACTCTCTGGTAATAGCCTGCACAGAAAGTGTCCAGTGCTCCTTGTCTTCATAACTGCTGCCAAAGGCTGACTTGGTGGGCTGAAGTTTCTGCTGCAGCATTCTCTTTGTATAGAAAGCTGAGGTGCCATTTTGTAACCTTCATTTTGCCAGTTCTTTATAAAGTATTAAGCTGTACCTGCAACAAATCAACTTATGCCTCTGGTCAAAATGTAGTAGACTGAGCAGCTGTACAACTTGCTGTTTCATCTCATCCAGTATTCTTTGACCAGATCCAACATGGGTAAGGAAACAGTCTCTAGCAGTGATCTGCATCGTCTGCTTTGGGCAGTCTGCCTGCAGTGTCCTCCCTTTTCTCCTTCATAGGACATCCAGCTGACAGTGCACAGTTCTACAGGAGATGTTGTATATACTGCAATGATTTCTCATGACAAACTTACTTCTCTTTTCCCTTTGAAGTCTTAATACATTATTTCTAAGCCTAAAATAAAACTATTTCTCAATTAGGGCTTAGTATATTGTTTATGGACACAGTAGGATTTTTCTTCAAGGATGTTGTTGCAAACTGGCTGAACTGTATGGCTGCTGCAGGGAGATGAGAGATACTGTTGATTTATTGCTTTGTCTTGAACTGGAAGTGATCTTTTATTTTAATCGGTGTGCGTGTCTGCTTTCCCATCTAGAGCATGGGGATTGTCAGAAGCAAAGAGAGGTAGTTGCAGAGCCATAAGGCATAGTTTAGAAATTCCCGGATATGTGCTTGCATTACCCAGACTGACAGTTATCCTGAATGCTTGGTCTGAAAGTGACAGTGATAAGATTCCAAGTGAAATCATAAATTCACTGCCTGTCGGTATGGTTTAGAATGTCACCCAAATGACTGAAAGTAGCTTGCTCTTGGAATTCTACAAGGACTAATGTATATATCATGGAATTTTATTGTGTCTTTAGCTATTAAATGCCTTTGTAGCTTGCTGAAACCATGGCCTGATAATACCTAATATTCTATAGAATGTCTGAATAACTCAAGACTTTTAGCTAAAGGAGCTATTGGTTTAAAACCAGCCAAAAATTGTTGCTTCTTTTAATTACTCTGCCAGTTCTCTATTTTCTGCATAGAAGATTCTGTATTATGAAAAGTAGGGTAGCATCTTTATTTTTAAAAAAAAAAAAAAGTCTGAGTAAGTTAAGGGACAGATCAGCTTAACTGATAAATTTTTTCTGGATCCATATACCTGTACTCAAAAAAAACCAACTGTGTTCTTAAATTGCAGTCCCGCAGTTGCTGGTAGGTGGTCCTTCCCCAGCGTTGTGACTGGTTGAGTGGCTGCCTGTGTAGGTCTGTCAGAGTACTTATTGCAGAAAGGTACCTCTCTAGCTTTCCTAAGTAGAAGCAGCATGGAACAGATTTTTTAAGTTACACTAAACCATTTAAAAAGTATTGACCGCTTGTATGTTCGGTGCGTGCTGTTATGTCAAACAGAATTTTGTGTTTGAATGAGAACAAATAATTCTTTGGAAGCACTAGCTCTGTTCCTGGTTTGATGCCAATTCTCTATGGACAGAATAATGATACAGCGAAGACGTGCGCTGTGAGCTGTCTCTTGTTTGTAAGAATCTCTTTTCTCAGGTCGCCGGCCGAGTTGCTGATGAAAGAGGTGCAGTGTTGGGTCATGAAGTTGGATATTGTATTCGGTTTGATGACTGCACGGATCCGCAGGCCACAAGAATTAAGGTGAAACATGAACAGTATGTGGTTACTCTGAAAGGGTTAGCTGAAAATCTTCAAGTACTTTTGCAAAATTAATGAGAACCTTGCAATGCCCGTTAGAGAGAATAGATAGTATTTCAGTTTTCCAGGTGAGTATCCCAAAAATGTGCTTGAAATGGCTGTGGCTATCCAAAACTTAATAAAATGAGTTCATGTTCTATTCTGCTAGTCAGGCAGAAAACTAAAGGAGATTTTTCAAGGTAGGTACGGCCAGGTATTGGTACAGTGCTAGTGTGACCTGATACATCACTCAAAGTCATAGGGAAAGGTTGCAGTGGATCACAGCTAAAGTATCCTCACCACCCCAAAAATAGCTTCTGATTAAAAGCACAGATAAAACATAAGATGAGTAGGCTGACTGAAAGTAATTTGATGTGGATTAAATAGCAAGCTTTGCAGCTGGTCTTTAGTGCTGCGAGCAATATTAATGTTGCTTGTGTTGGTACAGATGAGAGTTTGCTTTTGTTGTGCTGGATAGCAGTGATGATGAATGAGAAAATTTACTTTTTGATTATTTTTTTTCTGAGGCTAGTAGCCCTTTGAAAGTGAAACAAATGGAGATGCTTGTTCATTAAATGCAGCTGGGTTGTTGGGTTTTTTTGAGTGTGATGATTAATCAATTGGAGTTGGAAATATGGAGGTTTTTACCTTGCACTCCAGTTCTTGCCTAGTTGAAGGCTACAGTTGGAGTCCCAGGTCAAACTACTGTTTGATGGCTACATAAAGCTGGTGGGTTTCCACTGGCTAGTAGGAAGAAAGTATTAAAGTAAAATGTTGCATTTTGTTGAAATGTTAAGGTTTGTGTTCCGGGCAGAAGTGTGTGATAGATATTAAACAGCCTACTTTGAGAAGGCCAAGACTGGGTTGACACACAGGATGTTATTGGTAGAGCAGATTTAGCCTTGTTACAGTCAAGAGTGAAGAAACTTCTGTTGCCCTGTTCCAGTGCTACCAATCTGTTTGGGTTTTTTTCCAATACAAAAATTATTTAAAAAAAATTCAATACTGATTAAAAAAACAATCGCTCTGCTTATCTCTGGGTTGGCACTCAGAAATACACATTTGGCTTCCATAGCCGAAAATAGATCAATTTAATAGATCACTAGAAAATTAAAGGCAGGGGAAAATTTAGGCAAAACCCTAGAATATCATCTTTAAAAATCACATGGTAATCAAGACTGCTTGTTAAGTTTTTTTTACATTTTTCTTTGCATTCACTTTTAGTTTCTAACTGATGGTATGCTCGTGAGGGAGATGATGGCTGATCCTTTATTAACGAGATACAGGTAAGGAAACATGGAATTAATGATTGCTGAAGTGTAATTTGGAAAACTGCATTTATTTTATTTTTTTTTTTTAGACTGAGATGTGGTTATTATAAATTAAAATACCAAAGGATGGGAAAATTATTTTAGGAGTTCGACTTCTTTATGTTGTAAAGATTATTAGAAAACCCATTAATCATTGCAATGCCAAACCCGTCAGGATTTGGTGCTGTGGTTTTGAAACAAAAGCTAAATAGATCTCATGGAATCTGAACCATTTAATTTACTAGTTTTAAATTCACTTTTTCTTTCTGATGCTAATCAAAGAAAAAAAAAAATCAACAGTGAACACAGGCCATTCTGGTATCCAGAAAACCTATGCAGTGCAGTACAGTAAAGATAAATCTTTTTTTCTTCCATCCCTTTTCAAAAGCTAGCCTGAACAAAGAATAGTATGTATGTGCCACCTGGTGTTATCTACATTTTTCTGTTCTTTGTTGCTGCACTTCTAACTTCCCCAGCTTTCTAAGTGGTTATAAACAGTAATAGTCCTGCAGCAGATTTAAAATAATGATATTTGTAGAAGACAGGAAGACACTGATTCTAGTGTCAGTCAAACCATTTTTGAAATCTTGTCTTTCTGCTTTATTCCCAGTGTCCTCATGCTGGATGAAGCCCATGAAAGGACTCTTTATACAGATATTGCCATTGGCTTACTAAAAAAGGTCATTTTTTTTAATGTTCTCTAAATGTTTTCATTTTCATCCTTTTCCTTAAACCTCTGATCCTGATGGCTGATTAGTGAACCCATTTGAGAGGGTGATTTCTAGTCACTCATTTATCTTACAGCCTATTGTACAACTATTGTATCCAACTATTGTATCCAACTATTTACCTTAGACATCTGACACTCAGGATTCTCTATTTCTTCCCTACATTGCTGAAATGTCTCCTTAGATGATAATAGCAAAAAGTTGATCAGCAGCAGCAGAATGAAGACTATGTGATCTGATAGGGGTTGTTGTTGACTTTCAACCTACTAAAGATATGACTTCCACCAGAAATTAAGAGTAAGCTGTAATGATTACAGACTGAATGCCCTTAAAATGGATATGTAAAACTCCAAACAGTCATCAGGTTGTTAGATCTATGGGGTGATATGGGTGCTTCAGTTCATCAGCTGTCTTGTAGTTTCAAAGTATTTTTAAAAGAGAAGTTACTGGTAATCTGGATGCTCTAAAACTTGGTTCTAGCCTTATATCTCAGAAAATAATTTTTACTCTGGATGTTATTGGTCTCTATCCTAGGTTCAAAAGAAGCGTGGGGATCTTCGACTGATTGTGGCTTCAGCCACCTTGGATGCAGAGGTATAGCTCTCAGATTTGGTTTGAAATGAAGTGACCTTAAGTGGCAGCTCCACTTGTATTTATACACAGCTTATCCTCTGTGCTGCTTGCTTCTTGTGAAGCGTTACTGCTGTTTGAGTGGTGAAGAAGAGAGGAGGGAGTGCAGGAAAAAATCTGGTGTAGTTAAGTTGCTGTGTTTGCTTTTTATTTTGTATTAGCAAACCTTTTTGGAAGTAAATTTAAATATGAATCTGCTTTTCCTATATTTATGCCTGCTCTACTCATATTGGTATTGTTGTATAAAAACATGTTCTCTTGGCTTAATCTAGTTTGTAAGAGACATACATTTAGTACTGTTTTGCTGACAGCAGTAATTTGATACAACCATAGACCAGTACAAATAAGTGATAAATGAGTAAGTTTAATTTCAGTGAGATTAGTTCCCTGATTGACTTGTGGCCTGTGGTAATTTATGTAACTTACTAAAATGTCATTAATTTAATTTTGAGTGGGAACAGAAGAAATGCTCTCTTAGATCGGAGCAGTAGTTCCTCCAGCCCAGCGTTCTGTCTGTAGCAGCAGCAGCAATAGGAGATGCTGTTTAGAAGAGCATATGAGCCTGTCCACCTGCTGTGGTCCACTGTCTCTGAGCTGCTTCTGCATCTGCAGTGGTTGTAATGGAGATATCAGAAAAAAAAAAGTCTAGTATGTGTTTATAGACCTGCTGTTTGTTAATTTGTCTTTGAATCTGCTTGATGAAGCTGTAAGTCTCCAGGACATCATGTGAGAGCAATTTTTAGAAGTTTGCCACCTGCTATATAATGAAGTACTTCAGTTAATTTCTTTTAAACCTGCTAATTTCATCAAATACATCCTAGTTCTAATAGTGTGAGATTTGGTTTTTTTTAAAAAAAAGAAAAGAAAAACCAAGAAACACCCCCCCACAATTTTACATTTACTTTATCTGTTACCTTTGATTCTGTAAACCTCAGCTGTGTATCTTCTCAACCTTCTGCTTCCCAAGCAGAGGACCAGCCTTTTCAGTCTCTCCTCATAAGGCAGCTACTCCATCTCCTTTATCATGGTCTTTGCTTTTCTCTGTACTTTTCCTAACTCTGCTGTGTCCTTCTGAGATGTGGTGGTGAGAGCTGGCATGTAGCACTGAAGATGTAGGTGTGCTGAGATTTCCTTTAGTGGCAAATACCATATGCCATAAATCTTGATAATATGCTGTGTTTCAGTAGTACTTGCACTACTATGTATTCTGTACATTATATTAGATAACATTACAATACTTTGCTTTTGCAAAATTTTAACTGCCAGAAATCACACGTTTCAAATACTTTACAGTTAACGTAAAAATAAGTTAATAGGAGCAAAATGATTAGTGTGACTATGTAAACATTTGTTTAAATACAGAAAGTTTATGGTAGCTCTATAATGTTCATAAAAGTTGAGATGGGTTATTTGGGTTCTTAATGTTCATTCTTTTGCTATTACACATTGAAAATACTTCATGGCAATAAATCTAAATTTATGAAGGTGTCTTACAACACATAAATCAAAAACTTACATAAATCAGCCTAAATCTGCTTTTATAAGGTGAGATCTTGGTGTTCAGTAAGAGCTGTAAAATTTACTTACTTATCCAAAAATGGGTGAGAATGTGCCAGCCCTACCCAGCTTTAGTTTATGCTTTTAGTTTGTTACTGTTATAGATCCAGTAAAAAGTTTATACATCTGCTTTTTCTAACTGTATCAGCTGATCTAATTGATTTTATCACCTCTTTTCAATCTCTGCTTCTCAAAGTAATAAACATGCAAGGCAGTGTATTTGTGCTAAATGCCTGAATCTCAGGCAGAATAGAAAGCAACAAAATCAAACTTGAAATTTTTAAGTAGGAACACTATCAAAATACTGTCAAATTTCTGAAGAAAACATCCAAGTAGTAGTAATTTAACTTTGTGATGTCTTTAGGCTTCTTCCTCAACTCTTTGAAGTATCAAACTGAAAGTATTTTCTTATTACTTTAATGTAGAAATTCAGGGATTTCTTTAATCAAAATGAGACCGGTGACCCCAGCAAAGATACCAGTGTGATCCTTACTGTCGAGGGGAGAACGTTTCCAGTGGACATCTTTTACATACAGAGGTGTGTTGCTGTTTGATCTTGTCAGTGGTGATAGGAGAGTCTGCAACTGTGGTATCACTTTGTCTAGGTTAGAGCCCAGAAATTCCCAGACCAACGGTAAGGAGGTGTAGCATTCAATTTGGGGAAACGTTTGGATATTGCTCATAGCAGCAGATGTGTTTTTAAGCTTACTGTGGTGTAAAGGAAACGAATTGCTGAAGGCTGATTCCCAAGGCTGCATCATGAACTAAATGTGGCATGGCCAATACATAGTGTCCAAAAGCTAGTGCTCAGTTTGTTCCTTATGGAAGTGAGGAGGCTGCTTCCTATTTTTCTGCTACTGTCTCTGCTGTTTTCTCTCCCCATAGTCCTGTTCCAGACTATGTAAAATCAACTGTGGAGACTGCAATGAAGATTCACCAGATGGAGAACGATGGTGATATACTAGCATTTTTAACTGGCCAGGTATAGACATAAGCCACTTTTTCACTTTACAGCACCGTATTGTGGGCTTTGCAAAGTCACCTCAGTCTTCTGCTTTCCTTAGCTGTGCTTACTTTAATCTCATTAAAGATAACAAATATTTCTGCATTGATGGGAGCAGAATTAAGCCAGCCCAAAAGACTTTTAGAAAATGTAATTATGGTCTTGATTTATCCAAGCTAGTGATGGATGATAGTTTTTCTCATTTAACGCTGTATGCTTTCAGCCTTGTTAATAAACGGAACAGTATACGGGTTTTTTTGGTGCTAGTCACACCTATGAAGTTGACAGTGAGTCATCATTAATAGTTAAGGCAAATGGAATTTACATTTGTTAGGCTTAACATCTGAAGTCTTTGACAGAAAAACAAATTGCTGTGAGACAAAAATTTGTGAGTCTCTTCTGCTCTATTTATGCCTGTCAGCTCACTTTGCAGCTGAGTAAATGGAAGGTAGCTTGTAATTTTTCTAGTGAGGAGCTACTGTGAAAAACTTCAATAACATCTTGCATATTTTCAAAATAAATTCTTCATCCCTATTACTGATTTGACTTTGAAAGCGTGAATTGGGTTTCTGACAAGGCAATGTCTAAATATTTTGTTGTCTCTGTTCGAGTGAGATGCCACCGTTGATCTCCAAGATTAAATGTGAAGTTGAGCAATAAGTGTTCATACTGTTACTGTGTTATCCCTGATCAAGACCCACAGCGTTGTGCACAAAATAGATTGGCCTCCCATTTTGCTCTCACAAGTTGAGATACATGGGAAAATATGCCTGCTTCCTCCTGAACTTTGTTCAGTCCTTCCTTTGTAATTTTTCCCATGTGTTTGTGACATTATCTCAAATAATAATAAACATAAATATATATTTATTATGAATAGCAATTTATGTAAGAATATTACAAAATTGAGAGAGCTAGTTAAAAGATCCTGGAGCTTGAACAATTAAAATTATATTGGGATTATTTTGGTGCATAGTTTGTATATAGGTGACAGCTATGTGGTATTACAGTGAAACCTCTCTCATGCTGTCCCCTGTCTTGCTCTGGCTCTAGGAGGAAGTGGAGACTGTTGTTTCTATGCTCATAGAACAGGCTCGGGCCCTTTCTCGCACTGGAATGAAAAAACACCTCCGTGTTCTGCCCATGTATGCTGGGCTGCCTTCTCCTGAGCAAATGAAAGTGTTCGAGAGAGTTTCTCACAGTGTCAGGAAGGTAAGGCTGTTGTGTATGTCTCAATTTCTACCACCCAGATGGGTATATGCATTACACAGACTGTATATATCAGGTTCACGTCATCAGGCTACTGCAAACGCCTACCGAGGGAGGCTTTTCTGCATCTCCTAACACTGCCTGTCAGTTTTCAAACTGTGAACCAAGACCATGTTCTCTAGCTTCTCTTTTCATCGTTGATCAGTCCTAGGCATGTCAGTTCTCCTGTCTACCTCATCAACTTCTCAATTTTCAAGAGTCTTTGTACAAAACCTGGTACTTGTCTACATACAGTTGCAGCTTTTTATACTCTGAAGTCCTCTACTTTTACTTGGTTTTATTTCTTTTTGTGGTCTAAGCGTCTATGCCTGTTTTCTACCAGTAATGGAAAAATCAGTGACAGAGTGGGTAAATGCTGTATTTTCACCTAAGAAATAAGTTAAGACTTGCTTGGTTTTAGTAGAAAAAAAGCTTTGTTTTGACTTCTGCAAGTCTTGTTCGGATATTTAATGTCACAGAAGTATATAGTTGGTCATGATTAGCACTTTCTGCTTAGGCAGAACCTATGTTGGGGCCGAGATAAGCTGATAGAATTACGCAGGGGTGACTTGTTATAATTCTTGTGGCTGCTGGAGTCTTAACAAGTAAAATTGTTCATCTGGTCTTGAAGAACATTGAGATATATCCTGGAGAGAAAATAAGTATTTGACATTAGTCAATTAACTTCCAAGATTTACTTTTTTAATTTCAGGTGAAATAAGGATTAAATTTCCCTCTGTCATCTGGGAACAATTATTTTTTAATATTTTAGGACAGATATATATATAAAATATAATATTAGA